CGCATGGTGTCTGGAGGGTCCTGTTCATTCTTTCTGCCACGCCTTGTTGCTGATGGGCGTAGGGAAGCGAGATGAGTCGCTTGATGCCTCTCTCTGCCAAGTAGTGCTTGAACCTTAGTGACTGATATTCTCCTCCCCCATCTGACTGGAAGCTTTTTAGTTTCACTCCCGATTCCCGTTCCGCTACTGGAAGCCAAGCGAGAAGGCTTCGAAAGCCATGTTGCGGCTTGGAAGGTTGAGGTGCCAGACATCTCGGGTGGTGGCGTCGATGAACGTGATGACGTAGTTGTAGGCTCCTTGTCCGCTTTCACGGTTGAACAATATGTCACTATAAACCTTCTCCAGTGGTGCATATGCAGGAGCGCTCAGGTTGTGGTGGGAGACGAACGGCTGATGGGGTAAGTCGGCTTCGGGGCAGGTAAAGCATGTTCCACGAACTCGTTGAAGTTCTCTGTCGTCATGTAGTAGTAGTGAGTCTTTGTCAGCTCCTGCCCTTATCGTGTTGTTTAACGTTGTGTTGCTCGGATGTCCCATTCTTTCATGCCAAATTGATTCGCTGGTGCGATGTCCGGGTGAACGCTTGTATAAGTCGGAGTTGGAGTAAAAGCCTGCGGCGAAGTTGGCGCTTCTGTGGACTTCGCGTGGAGTTGGAGTCAACTGTTGCACGGGAGTCGGTGGAGTGTCGTCCATAGAGAGTGGTGGTGTTGAAGGACCCGCGATTGGTGTCATAGTCGGTGTTGCCGCTGCTACTGCTGGTGTTGTTACTCCTGCTACTGTTGTTGTCTCTGCTACTACCGGTGTTGTCTCTGCTACTATTGGTGTTGTCTTTGCTGCTGCCAGTGTTGTTTCTGCTGCTGCCGGTGTTGTCTCTGCTGGTGCCGGTGTTGTTTCTGCTGCTGTCGTTGTTGTCTCTGCTGCTGGTGTCTGCTAGATTGTTGCTAACGCTCTTGTCCGTTCTCTTTCAGGTATAGTGTGCGAGTACCAGAAGCCTCCCGGACTGAAGTCGGGGTTGAGATCTGACGGGTGTGTCCAAGAGGTGAAGTTGATGATTCCGTCGCTGTCGGTGGTGCCTTGATCAGGAACGAAGTCGAGGACGAAGACGTTCTTCTTCAGCACTGCCTTCCCGATGTAAAGGCCACCCCTTCCATTGTACAGCTTGAACTCCTGTGTGGTGCTGCCAGCTTCGAGATGGATTCCCTTCGCCATTAGTTGACTGACGCTGAGTAGGTTGTAGCGGAGTCCTTGTGCGATTAAAACCTTTGACATTTGCAGAATAACGTTGGTTTCTCAAGACTGAAGTTGAACTACTCCTTGTCATCGTGTACGTTGGTTCTTGTTGTTGGCGACAGTGATCATGACTTCATGATGAATCTGCTGCTCACGTTGTACGACCCGAAGAGCACATGTGCTGTCCGCAGTAGCTGTCTAGGAACCAAGTATCCTTTCCGGATGGCTCGCTTTGGGCAATGGCTGCATACGTCGGATTCGGCTCCAATGATTCATGGCAAGAGGTGCTTTCGTCGAGCTGTTCTTCCGGTGAGTAGTACGGTGGCGATCCGGTGATGCAGGAATCTGTTGTTCTTGCCATGCAGCTCACGATGTCTCTTGTGCCTTGTGCAGGTTTTGTCGTCAATGTCGTTGAGGACTGTACTTGATTGGTGGGATGCGCTTGTGTAAAAGCAACTTGACTGCTTGAAGGCCGGATTTGGCGTTGCAGCGGCGTTGACAGCTCCTGATTCAGGTATTGGGTGCGAGGGTGTCCAGACGTCTTGCAAAGATGGTAGAACGGCGGTACGTATTGTTGAGCTTGATGTTTGTTCTGTTAGTTGTTGTTGTTGTTATTGTAACACCATTGAGTGTGAAACACGAACTTAGGTGCTGACGCTCTTTTCTTGTATCGTTCTTCGTGTAGATCCATGTCCTACTGCTCAACATGTATCTCAGCACAGAGGGCTGCTTCGGAGAATGGCTCGAGTGGATCGCCAATGAGGACCGAGGCCAGTGATGACGACTGTAACGAAGGCTTCTTCAGATATTGATCCACCGCATCGAAGGAGTCTATCGCGTAGTCCGCGACAACAGCTGATATACGCCATTCCCTTTTCGCCTGGTTTCATTTCCACTGTTGTCAGTTGTGCCATGAGATGACTCTGATTAACGCTGTCTGTTGCCTGATACAGGTTCGCTCTGCGGAGTTGCCATATCCACGATAAGATCGGATGTTCTACTGCTCGTTCAGTGTTATGTTGCGTAGGAGTATTGTATACGCCATCAGCAACTGATACGTATACTGTTGCTTGTCGTTCTGTGTTCCATGCGTTGGGTATGGCAGGGAACTGTCGAAGAATCTGAGGATTTGCGCGCCTTCCATCATCAGCTCGAACTCAAATGACCAGGTATAAAATTCTTTGCCGTCGAAAGGCGTCGATGTCTGCATTTTCAAAACGTGTGCAAGCTGCGATTAAACCTGAAGCGCGTCCAATGTCTTTTATTGTCCAGGTGAAGGTTGTTGATGTGGCATGAAGCTGATGGAACCGCGTTGAGGCTCGTACGGAGCAAAGGTAGGTTGCTGCTGGTTTCCTCGCGCATAGGATGAGCCGTCAAGGCTCATAGGAGTGACGCCATTATTATTGTCGCTGTTGTTTGATTGCACACGTGCTGCTTGCTGGTGCTGCTCGTAGAAGGACATGAAGGAGAAGAATTTCTCCATCATGCTTGGGTCGAAGCCTGTTGCCTGGTTCGCAGGAGTTTCAGTAGACTCAGCAGATGGTCTTGTCGCTGTGCCTCCTTCTGTCTGTAGGCCAGAGGCTGGAGGTGGAGTAGGAGTGGTACTGGGAGAGCCGTGAGAGGAGCTTCTCTCCTATGTTGCCATGCCTTCTGTTGTTGTAGGAGTGTTAATGAAGTTGAATCTTGCCTCATACCATGTTGGGCTGAGAAAAGCCCTTAAGATCTTTTCAAGGCCAAGACCTTGAGTAGGAATGATGTATTGTGGAAGCGTACTTAGTGAACTGTTGAACCAATTTGCACTAGTGTGTGAGAGCAAGAGATTGATTATAGCAAAGTCATATAAAGGCTTTTATAAGATTACAAGGAATATGAAAAAGTGCAACTAACAGTTTTACTGTTGCTCTTGCGGTTCGATACAGTGACGACTCAGGCAACTGCTCAATACCGAGTCAGTTGTTTGTACTTGCTGTCGCGCTGTATTTCGTCGAGTCAAAGGTCGCTAACCTTTGACCTTCGCGTAACCTCCAGCTGTCACTTTCTGTCAACCTCCTCAATTGACTCGCTGTTGCTTCGCTGTGATTCGCCTCGTTTGCAGTTTATTGTTTCGACACAACAGAAGCGTTAAGTTACTTGTTTCCAACAGGTTATACCCTAAACTCAATCATAAGCGCCTCCTTCAAAAATACGATTTTATTACAAGTGCATATGCGCTACTATCCGGGGCCATACGGTATCATGACATGGTTACATAGGATAAGCTCAGGACCCAGGCTTTCACATTTCATTCGATGACAAGCCCACCCTATCTCCAATCCCCCCTTCTCTACCCCTCCCCCCCATGGCGTCTATCTGGAGAAATAGGGTATCTTAAAACTGATCCATGGTTATTAGTAGATTCACTTGTGAAAGAACACCTCGCTGACCATGTACTACCGTATCACCCCGGATACACATTAAAAGCGCATGCGCTTATATCTGGAGCAATGCGCTTAAGGCTGATCCTCATTTATAAGCGCACCCCTTATCAAACCCTGATATATTATCAGCGCATGTGTAATTTTAAATTTAAATCCTTGGTAACGAATTTCTATTTTGCACCGAGGCCACTGTTACGAATAGTAATACTTGAATATTACTGTGCACTCCTCACCGCAGCAAAAGAGAAGCATGCAGTATTGCGAATGAACGCGAAGCATCAGACGGTTGGAACTTATCTGAACCGTCGGAGCAGACAGCATCGGGCAGCTGCAAACAGGATGGTTTCGGCGGGAACAGTTTCATAACTGTTCGCGCCGCACCGTTGGGGATGTATTTGAATAAGGGAATGTACCCCTTATAGTACATGGCTGGCCTACGTCTTTTCGTATTCCCCTATACTCTTATATAAACTCGATGTATGCATGTCTTAATCATCTCAAGCATTTACATTCACTCTGCTATTGAGGTCAAGGGCCCACCAACATCACTACCCTGTCTGCGAACCTTCTTGAGTAGATCATAGGTCACGATCACCCTCTGATCGCAACAGCCACAACCATTTTTGCTTAGGTTGACTTCCGAGGACCTCACATCCTGAGCGTCCAGTCAGCATGAGCTGGCACGCCCTCAAAGTGAGGTGTTACACTGTACTTTGCCTCTGCGCCGGCAATGAATCGCCCGTGCGCGATTCTGATCTGTGACGCTTCACAATTTCGATTCGATTGAAATCGCAGGGATCAGATGTACAATTTGGTGTTTTTAAATTATAAATATGTACTAGTCATTTTATAAGCACATGCGCTTACCGTATATGTTTTACTCAATTATAAGCGCAACCCCCTAAAAACACTGTTTTATTATAAGCACATATGCGCTTATATCTAGGGTAATACGGTACATGAATACATAAAAAAGAAACACAGACATGCAGTCACATACACAAACACAGAAAAAAAAAAACAGACCATAATACAGCAGAGGTCTAATGGTAAACGCAGCAAAGTTCCATCCAAGCAATTACATCTCTGGCACAGTATCCACTAAAGGGTGATTGACAAGAAACAGCTGCAGAGTTCAGCGTGCTGACACCATGGCTCCAAACTGGGGCTGCATTGGTATTGGAAGCATGTGCCTGCGGAGGGGTGCTCACCCATAGGAGGCACTCATGTGTATTGAGCAGCCACACAAAGCTGCAATCAAAAGGCAGCAATGAGAAGCATTGGAGTGGAGATATTAATTGCCACAGCACATGCCGAAAGTGCATAGCAGTGCAAGCATTTAGACCAGTACACCCCTCACAATAGAGAAGCTATAGATGTGCCCATACTTACACCATCAATGTTGCGCAGGGAATCGCGGAAGGAGATCCAGGGGTTGAGCCTGCAGAGGTCCACCATGGTGGCTCCATTGGATGCCGCCACCTGCTTGAAGTCCACCACTCGCCCAATCCGTATCTCCTTCACACATCTCGGCTTGGTCTTGGCTGGGTTGCGCTCCACACAGAGTGCGCGGAACGCAAGGAGGCGAGAGGAGCAGCTAACACCGGGGTTGAGCTGCTGCAGGCTTTCCTCGGTGATGCTGAGAAACTGAGCCACGGACGAGCATGTGTCGGCCTGTGGGAGGGAAATCAAAGGGGAAATTGGTAGGGAGAGGATTTGAGATGGAAAGAGGTGGTCAAAGGGGGTGAAAGAAGACGAAGTGGCATGCGGTCTTTCTGCTGCTTGGGCGAAAGATGGTCAGGCGAAGTGTGAAGGGTGAAGAAGAATCACAGCACATGTCAGCACATGGTGGCACATCTCATACACGATTGCATGGGATGCTCCCAGAGCAGGAGCAACATGTGAGACTCACTGGCTGGGTGTAGTAGAAGGCAGAGCAGGCTGGCAGAAGCTCTTTCACCACGAGCTCGTGACCCTGAGGAAGGAGAGCAGAGCAGTTGATACCCTGGAGGGTAAGGGGCAGATGGAGAGTGAAAGGGTGAGGAAGAGGGAGACAGTGGAGTAGAGGGACAGAGAGAGAGGATGAGAGAGGAAGAAGGTGAGCGAGAGGTGAGGTGGAAAGAGTGGGAGAGGGTGAGAGAGCAAGAGAGGGTGAAAGAGGGTGGAAGGGAGATATGGCACAGAATCAAGAAACGGCTTGACATGCTCAAAAGATGCACACAGGCTTGCAGGAATTGAGATGATATGGCGCAGCATGTGGCAGGTCTCACCGGGTTCATGTGGGTGAACTTTGAGACCTGGCGCATGCTGTGGGTTTCAAGGCACCTCCAATCAGACCCACGGGACTCACCTTGTTCATGGCGATGAACTGCTGCAGCGTGAGGCCATACATGCTGTACACGTCCTTGCACCTCCAGGTGCTGCCCGCGACTGTGATGGACGAAATGGGCTCCCAACCCTGATCTGCACACGCTCAACGGGAAGGGTGGTGAGGCCATGTACGTGGCCAGCTATTGGTGACAACAACACAGCGACACAATTTGATCCACGAAACACACAGCTTGAGTTGCCACGTGTAAAGTGTTCGCAACCACTATTGTCTGAAGCGTTGCCACAGTTGTAACCATGAGAGCACACGACAATTGTAACCATGAGAGCGCACCACAGTTGTTTGTAACCATGAGAGCGCACCACAGTTGTTTGTAACCATGAGAGCACACCACAGTTGTTTGTAACCATGAGAGCGCACCACAGTTGTTTGTAACCATGAGAGCACACCACAGTTGTTTGTAACCATGAGAGCGCACCACAGTTGTTTGTAACCATGAGAGCGCACCACAGCTGTTTGTAACCATTAGAGCGCACCACAGTTGTTTGTAACCATGAGAGCACACCACAGTTGCTTGTAACCATGAGAGCGCACCACAGGAGCGGCCATGAGAGCTTACCACAGTAGCTGCCATGGGAGCGGTGGTTGGGCAGACAGACACAGGTCCTGTCCTCGGTGCCGCGGTCGATGCACGTGCCCACCAAACACCCGTTGACTCTGTCGTCGCCACACACGCCGGCTGGCGGGTGAAACACACAAGGGGCAGAGAATAGCAGGCAGTGGAGTGGCAAGGCAAGGAGGATACGATTGGAGGATCTGTGGGGCAGGAAAGGGCAGAGAAGACGAGGAACATTGCTGCTGCCAGTACTGAAATGCTTTGATCAGGCAACGGTGCTTCCCAGGGGCACAGGCGATGCCAGCCCCAACACAGCCTCCTCGCGTGGGAACCGTATCGGTTTTGGCAAGAATGGAGGTGGCATAGCGAACGACCGTATTGGGGCTTACTGCTTGAACTCTCTTCGTCGGGGTACTCAGAAGGAGGTGTGGTGTCGTCGCTGGGAGGAGGTGTGGTGTCGTCGCTGGGAGGAGGTGTGGTGTCGTCGCTGGGAGGAGGTGTGGTGTCGTCGCTGGGAGGAGGTGTGGTGTCGTCGCTGGGAGGAGGTGTGGTGTCGTCGCTGGGAGGAGGTGTGGTGTCGTCGCTGGGAGGAGGTGTGGTGTCGTCGCTGGGAGGAGGTGTGGTGTCGTCGCTGGGAGGAGGTGTGGTGTCGTCGCTGGGAGGAGGTGTGGTGTCGTCGCTGGGAGGAGGTGTGGTGTCGTCGCTGGGAGGAGGTGTGGTGTCGTCGCTGGGAGGAGGTGTGGTGTCGTCGCTGGGAGGAGGTGTGGTGTCGTCGCTGGGAGGAGGTGTGGTGTCGTCGCTGGGAGGAGGTGTGGTGTCGTCGCTGGGAGGTGGTGTGGTGTCGTCGCTGGGAGGAGGTGTGGTGTCGTCGCTGGGAGGTGGTGTGGTGTCGTCGCTGGGAGGAGGTGTAGCGTATCGGGCAGCCACACAAAGCTGCAATAAAAGTTGCACCAGTTGCAAAGGAACACACAGGAGTCAAGGAATGGAATCATTAGAAGCTACAAACCATGCTGGCAAATGGGAATTCATTGATCTTATCAAATATGACTTGTATATGAAATATGTATCCACCAGCAATGCACAATCAGCCACTACTCAGTCATTTGCCTTGAACTTACACCATCAATGTCGCGTAGGGAGTCGCGGAAGGAGATCCAGGGGTTGAGCCTGCAGAGATCCACCATGGTGGCTCCATGGGATGCCGCCACCTGCTTGAAGTCCACCACTCGGCTGATCTGTATCTCACTCTCACAGGTTGGCCTGCCCTTGGCTGGGTCGCGCTCCACACAGAGAGAACGGAACGCAAGGAGGCGAGAGGAGCAGCTAACACCGGGGTTGAGCTGCTGCAGGCTTTCCTCGGTGATGCTGAGAAACTGAGCGACGGACGAGCACGTGTCGGCCTGTGGGAGGGAAATTAAAGGGGAAAATGGTAGGGAGGGGGAGGGGAGGGGGGGTTAAGAAGGAGAGGTGGTCAAAGGGGGTGAAGGAAGATGCAGCAACACAGAGGTAGTGGAACGCTAAGAACGCCGAGGTGCAAAAAGGGTCGAGTAGAACGTGGTCTTCCTGCTTGGGCGAAGGATGGTCAGGCGAAGAGTGAAGGGGGAAGAGGACGCACAGCACATGGTGGCATCCCCGCTATCCATACGTGATGCATGGACTGCTCTCATAGCAGGAGCAACATGTGAGACTCACCGGCTGGACGTAGTAGAAGGCAGAGCAGGCTGGCAGAAGCTCTTTCACCACGAGCTCGCGACCCTTAGGAAGGAGAGCGGAGCAGTCGATACCCTGGAGGGGAAGGGGCAGTGAGAGAGGGAGAGGGTGAGAGAGATGGAGACAGTGGAGCAGAGGGAGAGAGAGAGGGCGAGAGAGGGAGAGGTTGAGAGAGGAAGAGGGTGAGAGAGAGACGTGAGGTGGAAAGAGTATGAGGCGGAGGGGGTACAGAAACAATAATGGATCGAGATGCACAATTAAAGGCACACACACAGGCTTGCAGGAATGGAGATGGTATGGCTTGCACGCAGCATGTGGCAGGGCTCACCTTGTTCATATCGGTGAACTGCTGCAGCGTGAGGCCATACATGCTGTATACATCCTTGCACCTCCAGTCGCTGCCTTGGACTGTAATGGACGAAATGGGTTCCCAATCCTGATCTGCCATGGAAGAAAAAAGCACACCTTGAGTTTCAATGTGTGAACATATGTTTGCAGTATAGACCATTGTCAGGAGCGTTGCGAGCAGCGAGAGAGCTTACCACAGGAGCGGCCATGAGAGCTTACCACAGTAGCTGCCATGGGAGCGGTGGTTGGGCAGACAGACACAGGTCCTGTCCTCGGTGCCGCGGTCGATGCACGTGCCCACCAAACACCCGTTGACTCTGTCGTCGCCACACACGCCGGCTGGCGGGGGAAACACACATCAAGCAGAGGACGGCAAGAATGAAGTGGCAGGTAAGATACAATTGGGGGATCCGTGGGGCAGGAAAGGGCAGACTAAGGCGAGGAGCATCGCGGCTGCCGGTGCTTCCCAAGCGATGCCACCCCCAACATAACCTTTTTTTGCGTGGGAACCAGATCGGTTTTGGTGAGAATGGATAGTGGCATGGCGAAACGAACAACTGCATTGGGGCTTACAGCTTGAACTTTCTGCATCGGGATACTCGGAAGGAGCTTTGGTGTTGCTGCCAGCAGCTTTGGTGTTGCTGTCAGCAGCTTTGGTGTTGCTGTCAGCAGCTTTGGTGTTGCCGTCAGCAGCTTTGGTGTTGCCGTCAGCAGCTTTGGTGTTGCCGTCAGCAGCTTTGGTGTTGCCGTCAGCAGCTTTGGTGTTGCCGTCAGCAGCTTTGGTGTTGTCGTCAGCAGCTTTGGTGTTGCTGTCAGCAGCTTTGGTGTTGCCGCCAGGAGCTTTGGTGTTGCTGCCAGGAGCTTTGGCGTTGCTGTCAGCAGCTTTGGTGTTGCTGTCAGCAGCTTTGGTGTTGCTGTCAGCAGCTTTGTTGTTGCTGTCAGGAGCTCTGCTGCTGGTGGAGCCAGTGATGCAGCGGGCGGACTTGACTGCCTTGCGGAGGGGCTTGGACCTGCGCACGGGGAGAACCATGAGAGCAGGCCGCTGGTCAGAACGGGGGATGAAGGAATGGCGTTAAGAGCATAGAAGCAGCTAGATGGAGAACGAGGGGCTCACCTCTGCTTGCCTTGCACGAGGGGCTCACCTCTGCTTGCCTTGCACGACAGTGTCCACCGCCTTCCCCGTGCACTTGGGACTCTTGAAGAACTGTATCGCCGTGCAACCCGCCTCGCCTTCCTGCTGCCACGACACCTGCACTCTCCTCGTCCCGCCGCCGGCTGGAATGGCGGCACAGCGGAGCGCGTTGAAGGTGAGAGAGCGGCCGTTGATCTTCATCCGCGAGCCAACCACTTGGTCATCCTCGCTCGCCGCCTTGCTCGATGCCTTGCTCGATGCTGCGTCTGCTGCCTGCGATGATGCCCTCAGGGGACTCGCTGCAAGGATGGGAGCACGTGAAATGCGAAGACGAGGCGAGCGGGCGTGAGGTGCACTCAGTGCGCCGATTTGCACTCAGTCTCGTGTCCGTGAGGTGCATTTGAACGCGCGAGCAAGATGGCGATGCGAGGATGGGTACATGGGTGCATGAGCGCGTGCGCGCATAAATATGATGCAGCGTACCAACGGTGACGGCCATGACGACTCGTATGATCAGATGTAAGGTGGGTACACGGGGTGGAATGAGCGCACAAAGACAATGTGCCGTACCAGCGATGACGACTATAACGGCGAGCAGCGCGAGCACTGCCTTGCCCTTCCCCATGCTGCTGCCGCGTGCCGCGCGACCGACTCTTCGCCCGTGACGGCCGTACAGATGTCGAAGGGCTCGCGAGAGGACTCTCGGAGAAGATTTTGGCTGGAAAATAGCACGAAGATGGTGCAGCTACTCAATGAAAGCTGGAAGAGCGAGAAAGTTGTAAGATTTACAGCACCGGCAGGTTTGGTGCTAAATGCAGTTATGATAGTGAAGAGGGCAATCCCTCGCGGATCATAATATACGACAGCAGCTTCAGTGTGACCCGCAGAATGCGCGAGGCGGGGACCCCTGTGACTGGAGATGCACACCTTGCCCATCATGGGCGCCAAGCTTTGGGCTGTACTCATCGCTAGAAAGTAGTGGCAGAGAACGCGTTACGGAAACACTTCAGTCTGGCGGAGCCTCTGTGGAGTGGAATGCTAGCGAGTAATTTGCGGGGATTGAATTGGGTCATGAAAGATGCCATTCTCGCATCTTACGAGTGACTGAAATATCTTAATCTGGTGTGGAATGGTCTAAAGCGGTGAAAACCGAAAACCGTCTCGAACGCGGTAAGGTACCGCGTGAGGATCTCTAATCGAATAGAAAAGAGCCGCATTATTGAAAGTGAAGTCAAAGGAGACTCGCAATATTAACTGTTCCCACTTATGGTCGTGAATGCATTGGCTTCATAGTGCATACATACAACTTTAATTTCGAATTCCCCGTTACCGAACCTCTTCGATTTCAATTTCATCGGTTTCAATTTCTTCAGTCCTGCATCAGCACGATGTGTGTGTGCCGTTCAACGCTAAATGATGGTACCATATTCCATTTAAGGAATGTCAATCCAACCACCCCCCTGTCAGAATGAGAACTACAGCGGAATGCGTTGTATTGACAGAATTGGGGTACATAACCTAACCCTAACTAGTTGTACCCCATATAGCCCAACCCACTACAGGCTATAATATTTGACACACCCCCATAGCCTAAGTGGGGAAGGCCAATCAACAACAAGCAACCTACGGTCAAAAGACCAGTCAAAAACAAGAGAAAGAAAACAAATCTCAGGGTGGATCACAACGTCACCACCTAATCTGAACACAAGCAAAGGGCCACAAGGCCAGTCCAAAAGTGTGCAAACAAATATATATATATATATATATATATATATATATATATATATATATATATATATATATATATATATATATATATATATATATATATATATATATAAGGTACAAGCAAGTAACAGACAAAGAGCACCCTACAGCAGTCAACTAGACCCAGTCTCAACGAGGCCTAACTGCAGACAAAACCGACGGTGGTCACAAGGCTGGAGGGCCTTGGTGAAGATGTCTGCAGTGTTGGCCTCGGAGGCCACAAAGTCCAGACGAGCCTGTCCGCGTCTCTGCAACTCTCGAAGGAGGCAGTACCTGACGTCGATGTGCTTCACTCGGCTCTCCAGTTGAGGCTCACGACACAGGAGAATCATCGCCCGGTTGTCAGCAAGCAGGGTCGGTGCAGAGCTCGGCCGCTCACCAAGGTCAGTGAGCAAAAATGTCAACCAGCGTAGCTCCTGAGCAGCAAGGGCCCCAGCGTAGATCTCGGCCTCTGCGGTAGAAGTCGCAACAGAGGAGGACCGAGTAGACCTCCACGAAACAGCTCCAGAACCCAGGCTGAAACAGTAACCCTGAGTAGACCTCTGAGTCTCAACGTCGTCAGCGTAGGAAGAGTCACAGTGACCGGTGAGTACAACTGGCTGTGTCCCTCCAAGTACAAGCCCCATGCCTGATGTCGCGCCAAGGTACTTCGCCACCCTCTTAGCCGCCGCCCAGTGAACAGGACGGTGTCTCCCAGTCGCAACAAAGCGAGACAGGATGCTAAGGGGGAAGGCGAGGTCCGGGCGAGTGCACGTCATCAGGTACATGAGGCAGCCCACCAGCTCTGCGTAGGGACCACTGGGCTCGAACGGCTCGTCAGGAAAAGACCCAGTGAGTCTGTGGTCTACAGCAAGAGGAGTGGGGGCAGGAGAAGAGTCCTAAAGCCCGAACCGCTGAAGAACCTGCTGCACCATGTGTGACTGAGTGAGAGTGATGGTACGAGCGGCTCTGTCCCTGGAGATCTGCAGGCCAAGGTAGCGGCGCAGTTCCCCAAGGTCAGTGCAGGTGTGTCTCTTCTGCAGTTCGGACTTCACCTCCGCCAGTGCAGCTGTGTCGGCCGTGGCAAAAACCAAGTCGTCAACGTAGACTAGGACGAAGAAAGGTGTACGGCCACGATGAACAAACAACGACGGGTCGGCGGAAGACGGCTCAAACCCGAGGTCGGAGAGAGTAGAGCGGAGAGTGTCGTGCCACTCACGGGGTGCCTGGCGGAGACCGTAGACCGGTCGTCTGAGGCTCCACTGGGTCCCAGGCGGGAAAGTGCCAGTGAAGCCCGGAGGACGACGCAGCCAGATCTCCTCGTGTAAGCAGCCCTGGAGGAAGGCAGTGGAGAAGTCAAGAGAGTGTAGCTCGTAGTCTCTCTGCGCTGCTACGTGCAGTAACACCCGAAGAGTGGTCATCTTCGGGGTGGGCGCGAAGGTCTGAAAGAAGTCAACCCCCTCGCGCTGACTGAACCCTCTAGCCACGTAGCGTGCCTTGAAGACTGGGGGAGATCCCGGCGGCCGCTTCACCTTGAAGATCCACATGCCGTCAACAATCAGCTACATACCCTCCCCCGTCCTACTGCTCTTACTGCTGGCACCACCTCGAAGGAGTAGAAGGTGCACCACAACGCCCCTGACGTTGCTGCACAAATTGCTCTTCATCGCCTCCTGCCAACGACCGAGCGAGTGCACTTTCGTCGGATCACGATAGCAAAGGAGTGCTGGGATGCAATTATTCCTCGCTACTCCAACCCCTCCTTTGCTACCCTAGGGCGCCTCATCATGCCTTTCCTCTTCCCTGACCTCCTTACCTTCTCTATTGCCGCCGACTCATTCTACGCTCGCTAGACGCTAGCTTCCGCGTTACGTGCACTTCTGACGACTTGCTAATCACACCTCCGCCCATGTATCTCAACCTGCACCTCCTCCTTGCCTGCATTCCTGACCGCATTGTCAGAACTATATTGTAGGCTGCTGTGGGGTAGACAATATGGGGTACAACTCTTTTGGGTTTTCATACTTGTACCCACCTGCTTGCTAATTCATTCATTTCCATGTTTTTATTCTCACATGGTATTAGAGCATATGAGAGCCGGGAGCCCCCTGCCGTCGTCGCGGCCCCGCCCTACAGCAGCTGCCGCGGAGCCGCCTGCAGCAGTCGCGGCCCCGCCCTGCAGCAGCTGCCGCGGAGCCCCCTGCCGCCGTCGCAGCCCCGCCCTGCTGCAGCTGCCGCGGAGCCACCTGCAGCAGTCGCGGCCCCGCCCTGCAGTAGCTGCCGCGGAGCCCCCTGCCGCTGTTGCGGCCCCGCCCTGCAGTTGTCCCCGCCCCGCCGTCGTCGCTGTCATGCGCCTACCATGCTCGCCCGGCGAGCGACTGCCCTTCCCACCACTGGTGAGCACTTGCCCTACCCGCACTTCCCGCGCGCCTGCCTTACTAGTGCGCTGCCGCGCTGGCCCGCCTGCCTGCCTGCCGCGCCTACCTGCCAGTCGAGCCGCGCCGCCCAGCTGAGCCGAGCCGCCTTGCGGCGCTGAGCCGCCTAGCCGAGCCGTGTCGTGCTACCGGGTTGTGCAGCCCTGCTCTACTGAGCCACACTGCCCTGCCCGTGCTGCAACTACTGTTTCTGCTGCTACTGCTGCTGCTACTGCTACTACTGCTATTGCTGTTCCTGGCGGTGGCCAGATGCAGCTCCAGCGACATCCACGTGAGTCCCTCACGCCCCAGCAGCTTCGTGAGTGGTACGCTAGTTGGGGTGGTAGGGGTGGCCGTGGTGGGAGTCGCCCTGAGGCGGGTCTTTCGGGAGCTTCTTGTAGCGACCAGGTGTAGCAGCAGCAGCGTCCACGTATAGTCTTTTCGCCCCAGCAGCTTCGTGAGTGGTACGCTCAAAGTAGAGGGTCACGGAGTACTGCTCGCTGCTCGTACGTCATTCGTACGGGTGCTCGGGCTGGTCAGCCTAGCCGGACGGTTGGTCACACACAGTCCCGCTGCTTCGCCAGTCTGAGCGACACCTGGCGTACAGATTTTGGCGACGACGCGCTGAGCTCCCCTCCTGGCTGGAGCTGCTTAGGCAGAGGGTAGATATCTTTGCTCTTGATTATGATGCTATCCTCACTGCCATGTATGCATTGCCTACTAGTGCAGACGGTGCCTGTTACCTGTGTATGCTGCCTGACCCAGATATAGAGTCTGCTGCTCTAGGTGCTGGTGAGGCTGCTGCTCTAGGTGCTGATGCGTCTCCTGCTCCAGGTGCCGGTGAGGCTGCTGCTCTAGGCGCTAGTGAGTCCACTGCTCCAGGTGCTGGTGCGTCTGCTCTCTCTGGTACTGCGCTTGCAGCGGCCTTGCACACTTGCACCCTTGACTCAGGTGCTTCGCTCCTTCTTTCGTGACTACACAACACTCTCGCCGCTACGTCGGCCAGTGGCAGTCTCTCTGGCTGACACCTCTAGGGGTCTGGTCCTTGCACATTCCTCCACGGTTCTGCCGTGTCCGGCGGTCCCGTTTTTCTCTCTGTCTGGCCTCCACCTCCCCTCGTTCTCCACGAACTTGGTGAG